CGAGCGCAAGCAGCGCGAGTTGTTCCACGGAGTTGGTGGCTGGCCGTGGAGGACACCCGAGCCCCGAAGCCAGCGGCGCCCTGGGCCTCAGCACGCCCCTGGCTGCTCTGAGGTGTCGTGGAGGTGTCGCATTGCGAAGGCCTTACGCCCAGTGCCGCCGACCTTGAAGGGAGACGACGACGACAGCGACGGCGACGACAGCGACGGCGACGACTACGACGACGCTGACGCTCTCCCGGAAACTTCTCCCAGGGTGGGGTGATCCCCCCCGGGGGTGGAGGCGTCGTGGAGGTGTCGTATTTGTCTCCAGGATGTGTCCTCTGAGACCTGTTTTTCGCACGCTCAGCTTAACCCGACCTTCGCCTCCCCCATTTACTCGAAGAAGAGAAGAAGACACACAAACTGCATGAGCATAAACTTTCGTAGCCCCGAGCGGATTTCTTGGATCTGCGCTGGTCTCCCTTGGTGGCTCCTCTGGCGCCGCCTATGGCGCGCTCCGCCCGCAGGGCGTGTGGGTTCAGCGCAGATTCAGAAAACTGTGGGGACCTCCGGACGTTTATGTTTCTGCACTTCTCTCTTCCTCCAAACCCGACCCTTGCCTTGCCTCATTACGGAGGGGCTGGCCCTGGACACAGATTCCATGTGGCGCCCATCAACGGGTAATCGGTGCCGAACGCATTTTGTGTGCTCCGCGGGTGGGCTGCCACCGCGAAGGCGAGCAAGCTCCTCGTGCCGTGCCCTCCACCACCCAACAAGTCTTCGGTGCGTTCAAAGCTTCTGAGGGGCAGGGTGTCAGGATCTGACGCCACACTGGCGGGATCTGCCCCTATGGCCTCCCTTCTGTCCTCGTTGCCCCCCGCTTTTTGTTCCTCCTATGCTTCTGCCCTGGATTTTCGGGCCGATGTTTGTGCCATGTTTGCTTTACTGTCACGCTTGGCTTCTCAGACCACTGTTTGTTCCCATTCCGCTTGTATTTTCCATGAAGGGGGCTAAGCGCCCATCATCAAATATGGAAAGAGCGCCAGTGGATGCCCCTCTCATTGAAAGGAGGGAGGTGCTCGCACAACCCCCCCCCCTCCGTTCAGTGTGGGGGGGGGGGGGGGCGATTTTCGGACGCCCCTCTCCCTTCAAAAAGGGGGGGTGGGGGTTTCGGACCCCCCCACTTGTGCCGGAGAGGAGGGGGATGATATCGGACCCCCCCCCCTCCCCACGATTGCGCTGGAGAGGCTTTTGGGGGGGGCCTTTGTGTGTCAGGCCATCAGATCGTGAGCGGCACAGATTTCCATCGTGAAAGGTTTACATGGGGGGTGTGCAAGAAAACATGTTTTGCACGGGGTCGTGAAGGTTGACGCCTCGAGAAGGCGATGCTGATATCAGTAGATGTGCATCGCATAGTTCTCTTGCACAGGATCGTGAGTGGCACATATTTTCATCGTGAAAGGTTTAGATCGGGCGTTCGCTGAAAAACATCTGATGCGCACAGGACCGTGAAGGTTGAGTGCCTCAGATGGCGATGTTGAGATCAGCAGATGTGCGATCGGGATGTCGAGAACGCATATTGCTTGAATAGAATCGTGAGGTTTGAAGGCCTCAGAAGGCGAGGTTAAGATCAGCAGATGTGCACCGCATGGTATTCTTCCCAACCCTCCTGCGTTGGGTTCTCTATTTGGATCGAGCACTGCGGTCGCGACCTCCTCCTCCCGCCCCCCCCCCTCCTGTCCCCTCCTACCTGCCTGTTTCCCTGCCTTTTGCCTCGCTGTCCTGCCTGAGGGCTCGCTGGGAAGCGGCTGCGAACTGCGAACCTGTCATTACGTTCGAGGGCTGCTGGGAGTTCCAGCAGAGCGACGCCTTACGCAGACCTAAACTAGACCTCGCCATCCCTGAGGGACTGCGAGCTGAGAATATGTTGCCACTTTCGATGGCTGCTGGGGGGTCCAGCGGAGTGACGCCACATGCAGATCTGCATTCGACCTCTTCATCCCTGGGGGGGGGGCTGCGAACTGCGAACTAGTCGCCACTTTCGGTGCTGCTGGGGGGTCCAGCGGAGTGACGCCTTACGCAGACCTAAACTAGACCTCGCCATCTTTGGGGGGCTGCGAACTGCCAAACTATCGCCACCTCCAATTGCTACTTGGGGTCCAGCGGAGTCACGTCTTACGCAGACTCATATGTGCGGGATGCGAAGAGCGAAACTGTCGACACGTTCGAGGGCTGCTGGGGGGTCTCGGAGTGACGCCTGGCGCAAACCTAAACTAGACCTCGACATCTCAGGGGGGCGCGAACTGCAAAACTGTCGCCATTTTCGAGGGCTGCTGGGGGGTCCAGCGGGGTGAGGCCTTATATTCAGATTTGACCTCGCCATCCTGGGCTGCGAACAGCGAAACTGTCGCCACGTTTGAGGGCTGCTGGGGGGTTCAGCGCAGTGACGCCTTACGCAAACCTAGAATAGACCTCGCCTTCCCTGGGGGTCAGCGAACTGCCAGACTGTCGACACGTTTGAGGGCTGCTTGGGGGTCCAGCGGGGTGAGGCCTTAGACAGACCTCGATTAGACCTCGCCATACCTGGGGTGGCTGCCAACTGCGCAACCGTCGCCACTTTCGAAGGCTGCTGGGGAATGCAGCAGAGTGACATGCAGACCTACATTAGACCTCGCCATCCCTGGGGGGGGCTGCGAACTGCGAATCAGTCGACACGTTGGCGAGGGTTGCCGGGGGGGGTCCAGCGGAGTGACGCCTTCCGCAGACCTATATTCGACCTCGCCATCTTTGGGGGGCTGCGAACTGCCAGACTGTCGCCACGTTCAATGGCTGCTGGGGGGTCCAGCGAAGTGACGCCTTACGTAACCCTAGGTAGACCTCGCCATCCCTGGGCGGCTGCGAACTGTCGTATCGGGGAGATCCGGGGGGAGCTGGGTTTTAGATCAGGGGTGTACAGAAAGGCAACTTAGTTGCGTAGGATCGTGAGGGTTGACGGCCTGAGAAGACGATTGTAACAGCAGCTAGTACGCACCGCATAGGATTTTTCCCCAACCCTTCTGTGTTGGGTTCTCGTCTTGGATAGAGCACTGTGGTATCACTCCTCCTTCTCGTCTCTCCTCCTCCTACGCTGCTCCATGGGTGGCTGCGAACTGCGCAACTGTCCCACTTTTGTGGGCTCCTGGGAGTACACGCACCCAGCCGAGACCTCGCAGCTCCCTGGGGGGGTGCGAAGTTCGCAGCCGTCGCCGCTTTCGTTGGTTCCTGGGATGCACGGCGGAGTAGGGGAGCACGCGCACCCAGCCGAATTCTCGCAGCTCTTTGGGGGGGTTTTGCGAACTGGGCAACCGTCGCCTTTTTCGTGGGCTCCTGGGAGTCACGGCAGAGTAGAGGAGTACGCGCACCCAGCCGAGACCTCGCAGCTCCTTGTTGGTGCGAATTGCGCGACCGTCGCCACTTTCGTGGGCTCCTGGGAGGCACTGCTGAGTAGGGGAGTCGTACGCACGCCTAGCCGAGAACTCGCAGCTTCCTGGGGGGGGGTATCGAACTTCGCAACCGTCGCCACATTCGTGGGCTTCTGGTAGGGACGGTGGAGTAGGGGAGCACGCGCACCCAGCCAGTTCCTCGAAGCTCCCGGGGGCGGTGCGAACTGCGCAACAGTCGCCACTTTCGTTGGCTCCTGGGAGGCCCAGCGGAGTAAAGGAGTACGCGCACCCAGCCAGGACCTCGCAGCTCCTTCGGGGGGCTGCGAACTGTTCAACCGTCGCTACTTTCGTGGGCTCCTGGGAAGCACGGTGAAGTTGGGGAGTACGCACACCCAGCCGAGACTAGGGCGCGTAAACCTTAGTGCTTAGAGCTTAGGGTTTGGGGCTTAAGCCTTAGAGCCTGGGGCTTCGGGATTAGGGCTTACAGGCTGGGATTGGCGTACTATGGCTTACTAAGGCCTTTGGCTTACGGCTTAGGTCCTGAAGCTTCGTGCCTAGAAATTATAATCTAAGCAGGAAACAATACAGAGTTTATGACATTAACATCCGGGTGTTAGGGTGTTAGACTTAAGATGTTAAGGTTCGAGTGTTTGGCTTAAGGTGTTAGACTTGGGGTGTCAGGGTTAGGGTGTTATGGTTAGGGTATCAGGGTCAGGACTAGGGTTAGGGCGGTCGGGTTAGAGGGTAGGGTTAGGGGGTAGGGTTCAAGAGCTAGGGGGCAGAGTGGCCAAGGGGGAGGGGGGAAGGGGTCCGATTTTCGAGTCCAAAGGAGGATAAGAGACGCGCCACCTGAATACGCCAAGCCCAGCTTCGGGTGACTTCCACAGTCCCTTACCGATTTCGGTGGCCCTGAGTTTACCTTATCGTGCGCCGTTGTGCGCAGAGTTCGGCGCCACTGTCTCAGCCCACGGCGCTGGTATCACGTCCCACGTGGCCCTCTGGCGCTTCTCCATGCAGTATCTCATGGCCTCGCCGCGGCCGCAGGAGTTTGATGGGGGAGGATGAGTAGGGGAGTTAATGATGTTTTCCCATCGTTTATCGTACGACAGATGACTACTCTGAGTCTCTATCGAAGACGTCGTACGCTCGCGTTTGTTGAGCTCAGACCACTGGCCGCTCCTACGCGTTGCGCCTACGAGGTACGCCGACGACGTGCCAAACTATTCTGTCTCCCTGCCCCTTCCTTCTCATCCCCCTCTTCTTCGTTTGCCCCTTGATCACCCTGGGGCGTGGCGTCCAGGGTGCCGATTCGATCGCGGCTGTGGAGGGATCAGGGGGGCAGAGAGGTGACGGAGAAGGGGACCGGGACGGAGAGGGGGACGGGCAGAGCAAGGGCGAGAAGAGGAGGGACGGGTGGCGGGAAGCGCAGAAGGGAGGATAGCGGAGGAGGAGCGGAGCGGCGGGAGAAGGAGGGACGAGCAGGGATTGGAGTATATGGAGGGCGATGGATTCGAGCTGAAGGGGGGCAGGCTGCGGCTCCTGGAACAAAGGACCGCCCGCCGACTGCTCCGGGATCTGCGCACGCCGCGCGGCGCGGAGGTGCTCCGGCACAGTTTTCGGCCAGAGGCGGACATGGCGAGAGCCTCAGCTGGCCCTGATCCCGCCAAGCGCAACCATGGGGTCAGACGAAAAGGGGGGGTACGGCGGGGGTCCAGACACTGCTGCATGCAGCTCTCGGCCCCGCCGCGGAGCGTTTCCCTCGGACGTTGTCGCTGGAAGACACGGAGAAATCCAGATGCATGCAGCTGATTCGTGTACCCCCATCTGCTATTCTCCCCCCCTCTCGTCCGCTCGGAAACCAGTCAGGTAGTCAGGAAGCCTCGGGATACGGGTTATTTCGCCTCGTAGTTTTTCACAACGTACCAGAGGATGGGGGAGAAGGAGAGTGGGGTACGAAGCGGAGGAGAGATGCGCAGGACGGCGAGGAGGGACTGGAGGGGAAAGTGGAACAGCCACGCCGCCCCATGCATCCTCAGATTTGACTTGGGCTCTCGAGTCTCGAAGACTCGGTTTACTTTCGCGCCGTGCTGGCTCGTGTCACACCCGCTTGGAGGGAGGCATGTCCCAGAGCAGTCTGGAGGCGAGAGGCTTCTGTGAGGGCGTCGGAATTCTGTGAACATTTGGGGGGCATCGTCGCTACTGGCTGAGAAGGGGCTCCGAGAGCCGATCTCGAGGTCAGTATGGCGGAGAGATGGCATGCGTTCACGTCTGACATTTTGCTTCACGGCGTCAAGCGTGTTTCCTGGTGCCTCGCCCGCCGAGATGCTTGTTTTGGGAGGTCTTCGGGTGAGGGTGTGCTTTAGCTACTTGCGTGAGTCAGTTTGAACTAGCGTTGCAGCTCTCGACAGGACACCTTCGCTGCCTGGTAGGCCTGGTGGGCTACCACACTTCTTTGACCGCAGGCTCCCTTGTAACGCGCACAGATTTCAGTGCGCATGGCTAGCGTGCAGGCAAATTACGCTCTTGGGGTGCCGCCTGCAGATCATCGTTATCGATGCACGGATCACGGGGTGCGACATGGAGAGTTTAAGAGACGTTCGCCGTGATTCGCCACCCCATTGGTTCACACGTTCATTTCTCAGGGAGACTGGATCTGAGTTGATCTGATCGTGTGTCCATGTGTTTGTGTGTGCGTGTTTCTTTGTGTGTGCATCCGGGTTTTGGATACGACTGCTCAGGCCGCGGTGCAGCGCAACCTGCATGCGTTCTACGACCAGCTGTACAAGGCTGGGCCGCCGGCCAGTCGGGGAAAGCGGCAGAGGGAGAGAAGAGAGGCTAGGGAAGGGGCACGTATGGAGGAAAGGAACGTGGGAGAAAATGTGACGCCGGGGACACGCGCGCGCCATATCTGACATCGTACATATCCGACCTATCCCTTCCCATTGCGCTGATTTCTCTAGCCGCCGATCGGTGTACCAGCGGGCTGGATGGCCAACATACCCCATCGCGTGATGCGCAATCAGACAAGGGGAGCTCTGTACATTACATTGGATGAGGACAAGATGGTGGAGGAGCACGAAGATGAACAGGAGGAAGAGGAGAAAGAGGAAGGAGGAGGGGACAGCAGCAGCAGGAGGAGCAGGAGGGCCAGGGGAAGGCGGAAGATGGGATAATGAGGGGGCCGAAAACGACGAGGAATGACTCGGATTCAGAAGTGTGGCCCGCGTTCGGGCGAGAGTGCCAGTCTGAATGAAGGGAACAAAGCGCCGATCCTGAAATGAGGCCAACGCTTCAGCGGGAGCACCTGTTTGAAATCGACGAAACGTTCCGATGGTAACAACAACATCAATACAGCACCGATTGGTGAAATCGTACACGCTATGAATCAGATTGCGTGGGGTCCAGCACCCCGTTCAAACAGGATCCATAGAGAGATGGCCCGGCAGCAGTAGTGATAGTGGCGATACCCCGAAGGGGTGAGATCGATGGTGCGTAAATCGCTGGATGGGCGGGCTGGTATCTGCATGGTGTTCGATGTGCTTTCGAAGCGGATGTGTTCGCATCTGACCAAGCCGTGGCTCTCGCCAGCGCCTTGTGCAGCCAAACTGCTTTTCAGGGAACGATCTCGCCAGCGAAACGAGCACGGATCAAGTGACCACCAGAGCGGGCGCACCAGACTTCTGAGCGAACGGGTGCGAGCTAGCCAATCATTTTGATGAAGGGCGGCAGACGGAACAAATGGAGAGATGAGAGTCGCATTCGCATTGAGTGGTTGTAGAGGTGGAGGGAGGATTTAACATTGGACGAGACGGGTCGCCAAGCGACTATGTTTCAGAAGGCCGCGCGACATAAGGAAGGAGAGGGGGGACATGCACGGATGAAAGAATGGAGCGGCAGAAGTGAAGGAGAGGGAGGAAATCACATACAGTACATACATGATGCGAGACGGGTCGCCCAACGAATCAAGGCCATATTGTTTGTGGGGGCCGAGGGAAGGAGAAGCTGTTCAGGCGCAGATCACGGCCGTGGACGGGGGAGCGAGCAAAGGGACGCAAAGTCCGTGCGCCACCCTGACGGGCGCTTCCCTAACCGACCTTTTGTCGAGGGCTGCGGGCCGCCGCTGGCCGGCATGCCAGGCACGCAGCCTGAGTCGACGAAACGCAAGCGCAGACGAAAGCGCGTGGATTAGGGACGGGCTCCGCTTCCATTGACTGAGTTCATTGACACCTGGCCGTCGATGACAAACAACAAAGGCCCGCTTACATGCAACATTGAAATTGCGTCACCAAATCAGGCGGCACTGGCTTCGCGTTGTGTTTCCCCCCCCCGATCCGTGGACTTGCCACCCGTGCGCCATATCCACGGTTCCGCAATCAAAGTTAACGCGTGCCCGATTAATGGGCGGCCCAGGCTCGCGGGCTCTCTTACGCTTGGTGGCCCCGATGCCGTTATAAGCCCGACGGAACTATGCGTGCGTGTGTGTGTGTGTGCGTGCCTGCGTGTGTGTGTGTGTGTGGGTGTGTGTGTGTGCGTGGGTGTGTGTGCGTGTGTGTGTGTGTATGCGTGTGTGTGAATGTGTGTGTGTGCGTGTGTGTGTGTGTGTGCGTGCGTGCGTGCGTGCGTGCGTGCGTGCGTGCGTGCGTGCGTGCGTGCGTGCGTGCGTGCGTGCGTGCGTGCGTGCGTGCGTGCGTGCGTGCGTGCGTGCGTGCGTGCCGCGCGCGTGCGCGCATGCGTGCGTGCGTGCGTGCGTGCGCGCGTGCTCGTGTTGGCAGGAGTGGTTGGCGCGCAGCTCGCTTGCCCCCCCCTTTCTCGGCGGCAGCCCCGAGACGCGACAGAGCGACGGGCAGCCCGCTCCTGAGGCGCAGCCGCGAGGTCTGTGCGAGGTTGTGAAACGCAACGGCCCCTGTGAATGGGGGGGCGGAGCGAGGGGGGGGGAGGGCGGTCCGCTGGCCTGTGCTGCGCCGCCGACCCCTTTGGGAACCCCGGGTGTCTCTGGCGGGTGTCTCGGGGCGGCCAATGGGGGCTGCATTGTGTGTGTGTGTGGGGGTGTTGGGGCTCCTTCGGGCTCGCCTTCCTGGGGCCCTCATGAGGGTCGGTTGGCATCCTATTGCGTTGTCTTGGAGCCTTGTTGGCGGCCTTTCTGGGTCGCGCGGGGGGTGCCCCGATGCAGGGCAGGTTTTCCGACGCGAACGCAGCGGCGGCGGAGACGCGCCCCTGGGGCCAGGCACGAAGTGTCAATGGCCCGTCGCGCGCGCGGGGGCAGAAGCCGGCCAGGGGCGAGAGGCCGGCCGCGGCGCGAAGATGTTCCAGGCGGAGCGCCGGCGAGGCGGGAAGTTGAGGCGCGCGCGCCCCATCCGAATGCGAGCTGGCACTCTCGGGCGGGATGGTCGCCGGGCGCGGGGGTGGCGCGCCCCGAGGGAGGTCGGGGCCGCATGTTGGGGCGCTGCGCGGGAATGCCGCGCTGTCGAGGCCATCGACAACGCGCGTTCGAGGGCGTGGTGACGCGGCGTCGCATGCTGGATTTCTAGGCGGCAGTTTTGCTAACCGCGCCCGCGCCATCCTGGGGCGGGCGCGCCGCGCGCCCCCTCGCCCCCCCCCCCCCTCATGACGCCATGACGCCCGTCATCGCCGAACATAAAGAAACGCTCTCCAAGGCCAGGTCGCGCCTTCGCCTTCTTGCGCGACGCCATTGCGCGCGTGGAGCGACATCGCGTCTGTCGTCAGATGTGCAGCCGCACTGTTTTCATCGTGCAGACAGCGAGTGGTGTTCGGCCTCTTGTCCGGCTCCACGTGCTATGGGGAGCGCAACGTCGGCCTCGACGGCCGATGGTCAGCGCGCGGTGGCGGCGCAATTTCAGTCGCCGTTGGGGGCTCGCGTAAGGGGGGCAGGTGCAAACGCGCGTTTGGATTTCGACGCCCAGGCCGGATATTGAATTATCCATTGGGCAGTTGTTTAGCGCTGTTGCGCAGATCCCACCGGGGATTTCATGTTCAACAAAGCCGCGCGTTGCAGGCGGGTTCGACCTCCTGACCGATGCGGCAATTCCTTGTCCGAGTGCCTTCAGATCGAGTCCAGGCCGCGCGCCGCTCGGCACCCATTACCGCCGACGTCGACAGCGTCTCTGCGCGGCGCTGCGGCGGAGGGGGCGGGTCGAAGACGAGTTCAGCCAGCCTGCATTTTTATTGCGCGGCGAGTTTGCCAGAGTGGACACGCGGCCAGCTGCAGAGACGAGTCGAACCCGCAGCAAGTCGCAGAAACTTCGGCAACTGGTCGTCTGAGATTTTCAGCTGTTAAGCGCGGGCGGCGCGGGGGCCGACTGCAATATCAGAGCCGTATCCGCCGCTGGCTGGACGCGGCCGCTGCAAACCACAAGAGCTAGGCGCGTTGTCGCCGAGCAGCAGCGCGGCCGCGCGTCAACTCTGTAGCCAGGCCGCCCCCGCAGGGAGGTGCTGAGACAAATGGGTCGCGCGGCGCTCGGGAGCGCCACCTCCGCCGGCACCGCTGTCACGGGAACGAGCGAGAAGGGGCAGTGCGCTCCAGAGTTTTGCAGGCAAGCTATAGGGCCGCAAGAAAACTGGCAAAGATCGGACGTCGTGGCTGATGGTTGCCCCCGCAATGGGGCCTCGCCCCCATCATCAGGGCCATGCGGTTGACCGTCAAATGTTCCTCTTGCGTTTCCACGTAATTGGGTGCCCTTGCGCGCCCTCGATGCGAGTCCCAACCATGTTGATGTTCACTTGGGCTCCACCCAGCACCCATGGGGATCTATTGCGGTGCCCTTAACGACCCTGGTCCTTTTATTTGCGCGTGGGAGTCCGGGAAAAATCTGGATCTAAATGGCGTCTCCCTGAAGATCGGCTTGCGAACGCTTCTGAGGGTGACTCCTTACTTATTGTCACGCGTTCTGTGCATTGTCGGCAGCGCGGCAAGATTGCGGATGAAACATTCGAACTCGCGACCAGCATGTTCCTGGTGCTTGTCTTGTTTTGTTGCGCCCCAAGGCGCTGCCGCAGCGAAAAGCACGCGTTCGCTGGTGCCTGATTTGGCTGACTGGGGTTCAGAGCCCAAGGGCAAGGCAATGGAAAACTGGGCGCCCTGATGAGCCGTTCTGTCTTGCTTGCCATCCTGGCTTGTTTCCAACCGTCCTGTGGTGTTGGGTCCTCGTTTTGAAGAAACGGTCCCCGCGTTCCTTCCTCCTTCTGCCGTTGTCCCCTCCCTCATCCATCATCATCGTCATCGCCCGTTTCGGCACGCCCCTCGCACGTTTCGTGGCTCCATAGGGAGCTCCACCGAAAGCCCCAGTGCCACCGCCCGCATGCTGGCACACCCCCCACACGTTTCGCGGCCCTGTAGAGAAGTCAACCGAAGTCCCTGGTGCCACCGCCCGCATGCGTCATGCACACCCATGTTAGCATACACCCTCACCCGTTTCGTGGCCCCACAGTGAGCTCCACCGAAGGCCCCACTGCCACCGCCCGCATGCGTCACGCACACCCATTCCGGCGCACACATCACACGCTGCGTGGCCCCATAGAGAATTCCACCGAAGTCCCCAGTGCCACCGCCCGAATGCATCACGCACACCCATTTCGGCACACCTTTCACAGGCTGCGTGGCCCCATGGGGAGCTCCACCGAAGGCCCCAATGCCACCGCCCGCATGCGTCACGCACACCCATGTCAGCACACCTCTCACCCGTTTCGTGGCCCTACAGGCAGCTTCACCGAAGGCCCCAGTGCCACCCGCCCGCATGCGTCACGCACACCCATTCCGGCGCACCCATCA